AAGACTTGTTATTGTCCGATAAACCTTAATAGATCAATCAGTTTGGCAAAAATTGGTTTGATGGCACTGTAGCAAGAGTTACATGAAGTTCAACTGTGACACCTAAAGCCCAATGCGGGTCTCTACTCTGCCCCTGCAAAATGACCCCTTCGCTCCTATCTTCTCGTAGCCCACACAAGCTTTATGCTATGTGACTTATGTTCTAATACCTTTTCTGAAATCTTCAGGTCACATGACACTGCAGGGTTCTCTTTGTCTCTCCTTTGGGCAGGGCTGTCCTCACTGATGCAGAGACATTATTTCTGTTCTCTCCACCTGTACACTGTTAATGAAGGGTGGGACCATGATGCACAGTAGGTTCCTTCAAATTCCAGTGACACTGGGCATCATTCAATCCAGATTGAGGCAAGATTGTGGCCAAGAAGTAGTTTCACTAACCAGGGGACTATTATCTTGAAATATTTAGAGTTGGACTTTGCACACTCATAAAGGGTTGTGTTCCAACATGCACTTTCATCGCCAAGTTTCTAAACTATGGGGACAAGATCCTTCGCCTCACCTTTGATAAAGGATACATCTTGTTTTATGATGGAAGGATTGCAGTCTGCCCTGGCTACTCTGCAGAGGTCCAACATCAATGGGGCAGTTTAAATGGAAGCAAAACCCTGCTTACGTGGCTTACATCTCACTTATGCATTGTTATTCCCTGCCAAGCTCCAAGTTGTGGCGGACAACAAAACCCATTTCTTTGAAGACCCGGATGCTGTTCTCTCATGACTGGAATGTACAGCTGCAAACAATGCAGCCCCTGACTGATCCCTCTTTGGCACTACTGCGGTGAGTGTTGACTCGCCGGCCACCTCTACCACACAGAATATTTATTGATGTCTAACCTCCCTGGCGGTATTCCCGAGTGTAGCTCAGGGTTAACTTTCAGTACCAAAAGTGGTAACCCTGAGCTACACTCGGGATTACCCTGCTGCGTTGCTCAGGGATTCCCTCCAGCACTGAACCTTGTCCTTCGCTCCCGCAATGTCCCCGCTGCAGCGTCCCCAGCCATCTTCTCCAGCCAATGCCAGCATCCGTCTTCCGTTACCTGCGAGCGTTGGGATGTACGGGGGATGGAACCGTTGGGAAATTCAAAAAAATTTTAAAAGTGACATTCACTCAATACACTAAAATCTGATAGTATAACATTACTGTATCAACCCATTTCACATACATTTTGTCCCGAGTGCTTTGTCCTGTGCCCTGCCTGCATTTTTACTGTTCTTTCTGCCTGGAAACTTAAGAACGTCCATGGAGTCCAAAAAGTGCCCCTTTAGGTCAAAAACGGTTTCAGACCAGCTAGAGAACAGCGATAGTAAATTAGAACAACTTGCAGAATTGAGTGATGATTCTTGGGGAAATTCGTCATCAGACACTGAAAACAATTCTGCGACTGAGCTCAGTAATGTGCAACTTGGCACTCTATTTCAAATTTCAGTGTTTTTGGTTTGATTACATTATTGAATTAAATGTATTTGTTTTTTTTATGATTATTATATTATAATTTATGATTTTGTGTTTCAAATTTTATCATACACGGGATGTTTACTAGACTCTTGTTCGGACAGATTTCAGTGAGTTATTCCTAAGAATTACAGGCCTACAATAACAAATCAACATATTTCTATGCAAAAAAAATGTACCGCTTTGAGCACAGAAATACTGACATAATCAGACCGCTAGGGAGGTTAACCTACACCTAGCTGGGGACCATATTCCCCTTTCTTTCTGCTAATGCTGAGCTAACTGTCCTCCTTTGTTGTATGGCCCCATATTTTCCATCTTTTCAACATGGACCCCATCAGCCTTTACACAAATGCCTATTATGGCCTATACCCTACCACAAAGTGCATATCACAGCAAACATTTGCACCCCTAGCTGAACTTTCACTTTTCTTTCATATGGTTTGGTTAAGATTTATGACCCTGGGCAGCCCTGTGTTGTTGGTTTCCAATGGGTTGGCTGTCCCAGAGGACGTCTATTGGGAAATGATGTGCAGTACACTTCCCAAATATGGAGCATATGTTGTTTTGCTTCTGTATTACCTTTCAAACGTGATGCAGTATCTTCACACATGGTTTGTCCAGAGCACACTGTGGGTTCCCAGAGCATCCTGGACCTCATTCTGGCACTTGCTGGCAGCTTGCATACCAGCCTTCACCTCCCCTCTGCGGGGTCTGCAATGTCCCATAGATTACTGTTTTTTGTATAATGCCTCATGTTATATCTTCATTGATTTATTTAGGCTGACCCAAGGGCTCCAGCTGAAGAGACAGCTCTTAAAGTGTTACTAAACCCAGTGCATTCACTATATCTGGTCTCCCACAGTACACAGAACATGGAAATGCAATTATTTTAGTAAATATAAAACTGCTAAATACCTTTTCTCATCAGCAGTTAGAGCAGTCTTGTGACTTCAGCAGAGCACTGGTTATAGCTTGTAGGAGGAGTTTTCTTTTTGCTCTAGGAGGATGTGAAACCCCTGACCTTGGTCTGGACAGTGCTGATTGGCCCTGTGCTGATCACATGCACTCTCCAAAGAAAAAAAAAAACCCTCTCTAGCAATACACACCAAACTGAGCATGTGAATGTGACTACAGATTCAGCCTGTATCAGGTGGTCATTTCAACAAGAGGATGGGTAGAGAAGTCAGGACCAAACAGCCTTTTTACACAATGGAGAGGATTAACCCCTTAGGTTCCACAGTGAGTATAACAAGCATGCTTTACTGCATATACAGACTGATTTTACTGTTGTGGGTTTAGTAACACTTTAATTCTCTTTTTCTTTTTTCATAATGGCTCCCCTTAAATTTCTTACCTGGAACATCTGTGGTATTTGTGATGAATGAAAACGCACAGTTCTATCCCATCTAAAAAAAAATACTGCACGCTGACATTATGGTCTTAGTAGAAACTCATAATAGGCCATTTACAACTCTCTCTCAAGAGACCATTGATGGGTTGGGCATATCAAGCCCCTTACACTTCAAACTCCGGAGTAGCAGTCCTTGTAGCTAAAACTGTTCAATTAGTGTCACGGTCGCTGAGATCGGACCCTCAGAGTTGCTTTATTTTTATGCATGTTCAGCTCTCTGGGGTTATTTTATTACTGTTAGCTAGTTATGTCCCCCCTAGCTACAAGATTTCAACATTGTGCAAGACCCTACATTAGACTGAGTGGGACCAGGGCAACCCTCTGGGCCTACACCTTTGCCTACCAGTTTCAGCTGATTGCTTAGTGATTTTGCCCTGGTAGACTCGTGGAGGTACATGTATCTTACCACTACAGCTTTTTCTCATAAAAGGTTGTGTGTGGAAGATTTGTGAAACACAGTATACAATACATATGGATGTGTGGGCTAGCAAGCAAAAGCAATAGGGTTATGTGCAATGTGTTAAATAAGTTGTCAGAACAGCTTTCCATAATGAATATTGACCAAGGATTCGGATAAATTAGTGAACCATAAGTGCAATTCACTCACAAACTGGCCAAGTGTTTCAGAAGCTCAGATGCAGGCCAAGATACAATTCCTTTACCTTTTCCTGCGGGGGAAATGAAGGGAGCTGTCTGCAATAACTCTACAAACACCTCTCCTCCCATAGAAGCTGTGTAGGCTGTTATGATGATAGTTCTGCTTTTAAAGCTATGATTGCCTACCTAGTTTACATTTTAGGTAGCTTTACCCCTCAGAACCTCCCTGATATATACATTTGAAAAGGGAATGTTCAGTCTCCAACATTTTTTAGACAAGCAAAGATTATTCAGCAATGCAATAAATATTCAGAGTCAGATACATCAAAATACACACACTCTTTCCTATTACCACAGACCAGAGATTACATTTTACTTGTCGGTTGTTGTATTAGCAAAAGACTTCCCTCACTGAACAACATCTTATCACAATATTTGTTTGATAGCTCTAATGGGCAGGATTCATGCCTCCTAACCAAAGTGATCACTACCATGTTGAAGCACTAGATGTCGCTATTGTTCATCTCACCAGGCAACAGCTCACTTCAAATAGATGGCAAAGCATACAAAGTGCATCAGTTTCATCAATTGTGATACTGAGATCTTTAGTGTATTTGGTTACTTGGTCTGGTCTCCAGTAGGTTTCTACACAGGATGGAAGTCTTATACACACTCAATTGTTTCTATTTTCATCTTGCATGAATAAACTTTAAGGGGTTGTAAACCTCAGACATGAAATATGAACAAAGCATATCCCTCTATAGCATGTATTTGTCTCCTATCAGCATGAATCACTTCCGCCAAGTTCTCCTGACACCAAGAAAAAAAAATGGTGACAGGGGAGGAACCACCAGCAGATTGACAGCCTCAGCTCTGTTCCTGTGAGCAGTGGAGGGGGTGTGTCCCTTCCCTTCCCTTCAATCAGCACTCAGAGCTCTCCTCACCAAGCTCTGCAGAGTGTAATTTCAGTTCCAGTCTCCTTTTATCTGAACTCTCAGACCAGCTGTATTAATTCAGCGCTGTGAACAGATGTAGAGAAGGGAGGACTGCAGATACACAGAAATTAAACAAATCCTCCTACATAAATTGTGCCTGTATCACCTGAGGCCAGTCACTTCACTAGGTATATGAAAGGGTTTACAACCACGTTAAATATTCATGGAGGAGACTGTCCTACTGCCGTTGTTTTATTTCCTGGATAAGATGCACACCTAGGCATGCTGTGGTTGTGGAGAGGCGGCAGGAATTGCAAATTAGAGGCAAGCTATACTTGAGTAGACAAGAGATTAACTTGATATACATAGAACCTTATTGATAGGTGTAGTTTTGAAATCCTAGGTATAATTCATAACTACTTACTGTGTTAACTAGACAAATTAGAGGGGCACATAATAGTGAAAGGTATCATTTATTTTTTACTGGAAAAAAAATATATATACACATTACATTGTTCATACTTGCCAGATGTTATGATTCATTAGGACTGGTTGGGTTGTGTTGTCTGCGTTTCCTCCCCACACTCAAAGCGTACAAAATCCAGCACTTCAAGATCATGCGGCTGCAGATACTGTCCTACAGTTAGGATGGGCTCCAGTAGGAAGGGCTGCACCAGCATCCTGGTTTCTGTCTCCCCAGTAGACTCATCTTCTAGAGAACCCAGGGTCGACGGGCTCATGCCCACTACATGCTGGCCCAGTCTACGCCCGAGTTCAGTAATGTTGCTTTTGCAGTGATCATTTGGCTTGCAAATAACCAAAGCTCCATACTTCCCAAATGCCATGTTAGCCAAGGAAGGCATGTCTGCAGGTAGGGAGCCATGCATGTATGAACCAATAAACATACTAGAAGGGACAGTGACCCATGCAGCCCTCTTCACGGTCATGTTCTCACCCAGCTTTCCTACAAAACAGATAAAAGAACATTGAAAGAATGCAAATAATTGCCAAAGCAGCACAAACTCACAAAGTTTTCTTCCAGAAGTAGAACATCAGACCACGTGTCACTACTCCAACATACATACAGGAAAAAAAAACATTTTGTTTTTTTTTTACCAATAGTCATCGCAAGAAGGTCTTTCAATGAGGACTCTTCTGTCTTCATTTCTAAAAACTCTTCTCCGGCAAGGAAACCCTATAGCAATTAAAAATACATGTAAAACTACAGTGTGCATGAAAAATTAAAACAGCACATAAGGAAACAGGCAGATGAAGAAAGGAGGCTCATACACATTTATTTTTTTTCTAACACACTTTTGTGTTGTGCTTTGTTGAAGTTTATGCTTTTAATGGGAGAGAAACATGGATGTCTCCTCATTCTGAAAACACTCTTGATTCAATACTTTGGGGTAGATTTACTAAGACTGGAGCACTCAGAATCTGGTGCAGTTGTTCATGGTAGCCAAAAAGTTGCTAACTTCATCTTGTTCAATTAATCCTTGGCAATAAAATCTGGAAGCTGGTTGGTTTCTATGCAGAGCTGCACCAGATTTTGCACTCTGCACCCTTAATAAATAACCCCCATTAACCTAGAACAAGTATGCAGATAGGACTTATGACTTTCCTGATCTGCACATATCTTACAGGTCAATGAAAATACTGACGCAAGAGGGACAGCATGGCAGCAGACGGTCTGCCTATGATTGTCAACTCCTCCTAGCTGACATCCCTTAACCACCTGCTGACCGCAGATAGCTGAATGACGGCTAAACTGCGGCCGACCAGTTATGGGGGCTCTCCTGCGTGCCCCCGGCGATCTCCGTGATTGCTGTGTCCTACGGACACAGCTGATCACGTGATGTGGTAAAAGGCCAATCACAGTGGCCTTTTACCACATTATCAGCTGTGTCCAATGACACGCTGATCACCGGGAAATGCAATTGCTGGTTCTCGGCTGCACTTTCCTCACGCTGTCAAAGCGTGAGGAAAGTGCTGCCGAGAACCGGCAGTTGTCAGAGCAGGGATCGGCAACGATCATCAGGGCACTGATGATCAGTGCCCTGATGATCGGTGCCCAGCAGTGCCACCCACCAGTTCCACCAGCCTGTGCCCAGCAGTGCCACCCACCTGTGCTCAGAAGTGCCACCTACCTGTGCCACCCACGTGTCCACCAGTGCAGCCCAGAAGTGCTGCCAGTCAGTGCCCAGTGGTTGTGCCAGTCAGTGTCCAGCAGTGATGCCAGTCAGTGCCACCTATCAGTGCTGCCTATCAGTGCCTCCTATCAATGCCACCTATCCATGACACCTCATTAGTGCTGCCTATCCGTGCCATCTCATTAGTGCTGCCTATCAGTTCTCATCAGTGCTGCCTATCAGTTCTCATCAGTGCTGCCCATCAGTGCCGCCTATTACTGCCCATCAGTGCCGCTATCAGTGCCCATCAGTGCTGCCTCATCAACGCACATCAGTGAAGGAGAAAAATTACCTGTTTGAAAAATTTTATAATAGAAACAAAGAAACTTTTTTTTTTTTCCAAATTTTTTGCAGTTTTTTTGTTTATAGTGCAAAAAGTAAAGTGCCCAGCGGCGATTAAATACCACCAAAAGAAAGCTCTATTTGTGAGAAAAAAATGATAAAAATTTCATATGGGTACAATCTTGCATAACCGTGCAATTGTCATTCAAAGTGCGACGGCGCTGAAAGCTGAAAATTGGCCTGGTAAAGAAGGGGTATAAGTGCCTGGTAGGCAAGTGGTTAATTAATGCATTTTGATATATGCATAACTCCTTCCAAGTGCCAACCCATTGCTTGCAACATGGCTGAAGGCTCTTGAAAGGAGTACTAAGCCAGGTTGGTGTGAGATTTTAGGAAGTCATGTATACATAGCTACATACAGCACCCTGACACCCCCACCAGGCCTGGTTTGCCTGCATTACAAAGCAAAGAGGCACAGTGTTGATGTCACACAAGGTCTAAAATAAGTTATGCAAAAATCGCTGGGCAAGTCGGCACTCTATTGTCCGCAATTAAAAGCGGTCATATTGGTGCAATTCTGACTTGGTTGGAGCACCAATTTCTAAAGTTGCGCATGCACTACTTCAGGTGCGACTTGCATAGACATCTGTGTCTTGCAAGCCACAGATGTCTTGCAAGTTGCACTCAAGTCGGAATGACATCCGACTTTGAAATCATGCGACTTCACTGGAAGTCGCATGATTTAAAAGCCCGATTGGTGTGACCGGGGCCTCAATCTAGAAATCTAAATGTGTTGTCTCCAAGATCTCACCTTCAAGTATGAGGTCTGGTTTCTCTCTATACTATGGCAATGCTTTAGTGTTGAGACCGCCACCTGCTGGACCAGCTGCTGAAACTTCACATTCCTGGCAACAAAGTCTGTTTCACAGTTCACCTGGAAAAGTCAATAGGAATTCTTGTAGTCATCCAAACTGGTAAATGGAATTCAAGTAGTAACAGCCTGGTTCTGCTGACTGCATGATTTCCAATCAAATCAAGAAAGAGCATTCAATTATATTCTCATATGTTACAAATGCAGCTTCTTTACACTGTTTAGGATCAACTCTTTTCGATGATCACAGACAAATTAAACTGCCCACCAGTTTCTTGGAAATTACAGTGTTGATTTGTATCTTCCACACTCTCCCACAATGCCATTCTGAATATTCCACTTGTAATGCCTTGGTTATTTGTTTATTCCACATTAAAGATGGAATGGGGCAGTCTTCAGCCAAGCCTATGAAAGCAAAAGCACATGGACACTTTTAACCCCCTTCCTGTCCCCTTATACACAAGTCCTCTGGCCAGTCTGGTGAAGTCCTTCCTCTTCCTAACTGGCGTAAGTAGTCCTTAACATAGAACATTGCTCACATAATGACAACATTCTGTAGAGCAGCATGCTGGATGTCACTCAACATGGAAGAGGAGTAAAGAGCCAAGTATTTCAACTAAATCATCTTAATTTCTTTTCATTTATTCTGAGCTATTTATTTATATTTAAAGCTGAACTCCAGCCTGCCCTTCACCTCCACATTCCTCTCCTGTGTTGCAATTAATTACTCTCAAATTCCCAGCAAAATGTTATCTCCATAATAAACCTCTCCTGTTTAAATGACATCAGTTATTCACCACTCATCTCTGATCCATATTTGTCCCGTCCCCCCTCAATATCAATTATTTTGTCCTGGAGCTTTATGTGAAAAAACACATACCCCGCATCCCTTTACATGTGCATAATCAAAAGCATCCAATCTGCAGACCACACAGCTAAAATCTGCACCAAAGCAGTGGCCTGCAAGGAAAAGCAGGCACATCTAAAGGGGTCCTAAGGATGTATCCTTGCATATAATGACACTGAAAAGATGCAATGCAGAATGCTGTAATATTTACAGGAGCCTGCCAGCCCCTCCCTCCAAAATGATATAAATATGTCTCAAATTTTTTTTTTTAAACAAAGTTTGATTTAAAATAAATATTTGCATGTTGGCCAGGACAGAGGAGACAACAAGGTAAGGCAATGTATGTGTACAATACACTTTAGCTTTAACATGGAGTCTCTCTGTTTATAAGTGATTTCACACACCATTTACACAGCTTTCATCAAAGTTTAACACATTTTCTTAATTGGATTAATGTGTGAAACATAGGTGAAAGCTGTGTAAATCATGTGTCATTTGCCAGCAACTAGTTTATATAGAACGATAACAAGCTGTGCAGTTTTTATGATTGGTATTAACACTGTTCAGTGCTTTTTTAATTTTCAGAACATATAATGCAATCAAGGTGACAGTCTATGTTTTCATAATACGATTAAATATTGTCAAATCAGATTTGGGGCTTTAATTTCTTATCAGCACTAGAAATAGCAGAACTAAAATCTGGTTTGTTGCAACACATCCATATTACACTACCCTAATCTCCATGTATAAAGCAGTGTACATACAGTACTTACTTCCACCAATACTGCAGTGTTGCCTTTATGCAGCAGTCCTAGAAGACCCTCTGCAGTCTTTCTTCCTTGCAATTTTGAGGCTTTACTCCATCCTTCTTTCTGGGCCTGTTCATGTAGCCAAGATTCTGCCTTTAAAAAAAGAGGGAATGGTTAAAAAGGCATTCAGAATGTAACATTGTTAGTATAGTAAGAAAAAATTATTTTCATAAACTGTAATTTGACCTTTAAGTAAGCTTACAGTGATATGTGATGTATAAACATGTTACAGATTTTTCCAAAACAACTTGCACAGTGGTGTCCCTAAAGTATGGACACATTGGAAGAGCCCACCCAATGCATATAGTTGGTGATATTTCCTAACAGCAAGAAGCACAAAATATTATGGTGTGGTTTGTGGTCATGTGTTGGGACCATTTTTCTTTAATAATCATGTAACTGGTGAGACATACCTCACCATATTGAGAGACCAAAGGAAGGACTCCCTGAGTGGTTCCAACAAGATGGAGCCCCTGCCCATTACGCCATAGTGGTAACAGATTGGCTGAATGACAATTTTTTAACTGGATTGGAAACATGGTCATGTGGAATGGTCTCCTCCATCACAAGACCTTAAAGGAAAAGTTCACCTTTTGGACAAAAATAATAAATACACATTTTTTCTGTAAGTAAAGAAAATGTGCATTTATTATTTTTGTCCAAAGCAGCCTGGAAAGCATTGCACCAGCAATCAGTAAATCGCTGATGCCAGGCAGGTCTCCTGCAGACCTGTCAGAATACCTGCTTGCCATATGAGATGTACAAGCAAGCAGATATTCTGACAAGAAGCTTCAATGAACTATCACGGTGCTCCACAGCGCCATGGTGGTTCATAGAAAGCTACAAGCAGACAGCTGCTAAGGGTGTTGGGACTTGCAGTTCATTCATTCACGGAAGTCCAAATTTGAAAAGCTGTTTTCAAAGTTGACAGATAGTATGGGGAAACTTCTCACCGTATTAGCTGCAGCTATGGGAACATGTTACATGTTCCACCATAAAAAAAGGATGTAACATGTTCCAAAGGTGAACTTATCCTTTAACCTTCTCGACTTCTTTTTTGGGGTATGCTAAATGCTACTTAAAACCCTATAAAAACCTCCTTTAATAAAATTCCTCTTTTTAAAGCAGAGGCCCTAGAGAAAAAAAATGATGCATGCTGCAATTTTTTATGTCACCTGGTATTTGCTCAGCAGTTTTTCTAATGCAATAAAAAAAAAAAAAAAATACACTTTAATGAATTTTAATGCACCAACACACAATATAAATCCCAATTCTTTTGGTAAAATATAAAAGAGGATGTTATGCCAAGTAAATAGATACCAAACTGGTAAAGCTGTAAAACTGTGCACACCTGTATAACGATCACAAAATACGTAAATTTTATTATCCAAAGGCAGCACTTTAAAAGCCTTTGCAGGTTACCACTTTAAATTCACGCAGAAGGTCTAGTGCTAGAATTATTGCTCTCGATATGACATTCACGGTGATATGACTGCTGTTTACGTACTGAAGCAGGACCAATGCATGCACTCGCCTTTGTGAGCGAGCACAGGGGGACAGGGGTGCTTTAAATTTTTTTTTTTTTTTAGTTTTACATTGTTCCTTTAAATATTTTATCAACTTTGATGTTATCACAAGGAATATAAATATCCCTTGTGCTAACAATAGGCAGTGACAGGTACTCTTTACTGAGCGATCTGGGGTCTATTCTCTGCCCTTAAAAGCTATTCGATGCTTTTTTCAAACCACTAATGGTTTGTTGATATCCATCAAAATTGGAAGTGACGAAATACTTGTCACTTCCAGTTTCTCAGACCATAGAGATGATTGGGGCCATTTCAGTCCCCGATCAGCTCTATGGTCAGCCCACGGAAACACTGGATGCACTCTCTGGTTCCCCGGGAGGATTGGAGAGCTTGAGAAGGCCGTGGGAAAGTATAACCACTCAAAGTAGGGAAACGTACCATACACCGATTGGCAATGTGGTTAATGTAGAATGTACAAGGGTTGGACAAAATGATGGAAACACCAGGTAAAAGAACAAAAATCGTTACCCAATATGGTGTTGGGCCACCTTTGGCATCTAAGATGGCTGAATTCTCCTAGGAACCCTTCCATTATCTTCACCATGGGGTGCACATGGTCGGTCAAAATTTGTACATAGTCCTTGGCAGGGACTCTACCTTTCAAGGTGATGGGGCCTGCAGAATACCAAGATATGGATGCCCAAACTACGATTGCGTCACCACATGCTTTACCATTGGCACAAGACAGTCCTGGTCGTAAACTTGGGACAGTGTTTGCCACATGTAAACACGTCCAGTGGTTGGGAACATTGTGAAGCTTGAATCATCTGACATATTACAATCTTCCATTGATTGATAGTCCACGATCTATGGGTACTGCACCACTCTCTCCTCTTCTGAGCGTTAATATTGGGCACTAGTGGTTTGGCAATTGCAGCTCACCTGTAAATGTTTTGCTTATGGAGTTCCCTCTGCACAGTTTTTGTGGACAAGAGCTTTGGAGTCACATTTGCAGCAGTTGCTTTCTTATTCTGGGTCACAATCCTGAGCAATGTCTTTTGTCTCATTTTGTCAGCTGACCATGTCAACTACGCTTATGCTTGTCAGACAAAGTTTTCCCCAGAAACTGTATATGCTGTCACACCCTTTGATAACTTGCAAAACTGCAAATAAATTGGCAAAATCATGTAGCGTTTCCATATTTTTGTCCAACCCCTGTATGTTCCTTGCTAAAGAACATTATTTTTTATCAAATTGTTATAGGTAAGATTTTAAAGCGGAACTTTACCCATAACAATTAGATAAAAAAAATTTACTTTAGCAAGGAACATACATTCCACATTATTAATTCTGCTCCAAATTGCCTCCAGCATTGCTCTTGTTTTATTCTTGCTGGAGGCTGCTATTTTGCTGAAGCCCAGAATCCCTGAACAGCAGTAATTCATAAAGTGGAACTAAACCCATCAATTTGTTTTCATAAAACAGTTACATTCCTGGAATGCTGGGATTGCTAACTGTCACATTTGCTTGTGTCCTCAACCAAACTGTCAAACCATCAAATGGTTATAAGAGCCATACAAAGCAGTGTGCTTACAGTTGAAAGCACTAAACACAGCATACAGTAAAACAGCACACAGTTAACCCTTTGATTGCCCCACATGTTAACCCCTTTCTGCCCAGTGCCATTAGTACAGTGTCAGTGCTTTTTATTAGCACTGATCACTGTATTGATGTCACTGGGTATGTCAGTGACACCAAATCAGTTCCCCCACAGTGTCAGAATGCCCACAGCAGTCCCACTAGAAGTCGCTGATCGCTGCTGGATCAAATGCCACCGAAATAAAGCTCTATTTTAATGGGAAAAAGGGATGTAAATTTCATTTGGGGATGCAGCGTTGCATGACCGCGAAATTGTCAGTTAAAGTAACACAGCGCCGTAACGCAAAAAATGGCCTGTTACTACATACATCCTATTGTTTGTCATTTTGTTAAATTCTATAACTAGAAAATTTTAACAAAAAAAAGAATTTGCACATGGTCATTATAAAGTTGATTGTATAACCAGACTGTAATGTGTGTGGTGACCCTAAAATTATGTCATGTGACTGTGACCACTTTAAATATAAATAGGGTGCCACAGAGTTCCTAGCTATAAGATAAGTTCACCTTTTGACAAAAAATAATAAATGCATTTTTTTTAAGGTAAAAAAAAAAATGCTATATATTTTTTTGCTGAAGGAGCCTGTAAACCATTGCAACCAGCGATCAGCAGATCACTGGTGCCATACAGGTCTCCTGCAGACCTGTCAGTATATCTGCTTGCTGTACAGGATGCAAGCTGACATACTGACAGGAAGACTGAATGAACTACCATTGTGCTCCACAGCGCCGTGGTAGTCCATTGAGAACTACAAGCCAACAGCCGCTAAGACTGCTGGGACTTGTAGTCCATTCATTTAGAGAACTGTGTGTCCTGTACTAATATGACCCCATGTCATGCATGTCCCATTCCCCCCAGCCTGAGAACAGCCATCACCTGCTTGACGTCATTGCTGAACTTGTCCAGGGCCTTCTTGCAGTTGGTGAACGAATAGCCGGTCTTCCTCCTCAGCTTCAGCAGGAGGTCCTTGTCTGAGGCCAGCAGCCGGCTACATGTGTGGAGGAGGGCGGTCTTGTGCCAGGAGAGGAACTGCCATAGAAGAGGAGATAGCAAGTGAACTCATCACATCCCCGGGGACACCGATCACCCCCACACACAATGTCATCACTTACCCTACAGCGCAGCATCCCTGACACCTTCCCCACGATGAATGACAAGGGCACACACAGATGACGCCATGCAGCACCACCAAACGATGCTCTTCACTTCCGGGTCATCTCCGCAGCCATTTTCCCGGAGCCCATTACAGTAGTATAAGAAGGGATAATTTGCTGTGTGTGTTAGTAATATGTTACCCTGCAGCTCTGTAATACAATTCAGGTCATTTTCTAAACATAATCAGACTCCAGTCACATCTGTGTGTTGTATTATTGTACCATTGTCAACCAGCAGTGTGTGGATGTTCATGGTGCAGTCAGTATTGCTGGACCAATACACACCAAGCTGCTCACTGCCACAGATAACACATAACATTCAGACACACCCATGCATTGTATTAATAGGCTGGGGACATGGGTGACTCTCCCACCTGCGATCCTGCCGCTGACAGTCACAATCCAGGACTTCGCCAGAGCCTCTCCCATCCTCTGGAACTCTCTGCTCATTCTGTCCGGCTATCCCCTACTTAGGCTGCCTTTAGGCGATCCCTGAAAACTCATATCCTCGGGAAAGCCTATCATGCCTCCAATTTATCACTTTCATCATCTCATCCCCTACAGTTATAACCTTTTGTACCACTTGCCCCACTGTCTCAAATTTATATTGTAAAGCGTTGCACAAACTGTTGGTGCTATATAAATCCGGTATAATAATAATAATCTTTAGGGGCAGGATTGCTAAGAGGCTGCTTTTTTTTTTTTTGTCTCTATGGAATTGCTCCTTCTGTGGCTGAGGCGGTGCGAGGTTACTTACATCAACACTGAGATTCCGTAGCGTTCATGTCAGTGACAGAGTGACACCTTGCAGAGTGTGGATACAGCAATTCCTTAGCGGTCCTGCTGCTGGTGATTTGTTGCTAGAAGCAGAATCACCCATGTGTCATCAGCCCTAAGGCGTCATGTATACAGGGGGAAAAAAAAATGCAGCTTTTAACCTGGACCCCGCATATATGTGTTCTTATGTTTTCTTTCTAGGAGTGTGCCCCCAGCACTGAGACCGGGCTGTCGGTGAGAGCCTTGGGGCTCTACTATCATCCAGATCCCGATCACATTATCACTCTGATAGCCTGACAATGATCACAGTGATTATTCACTCTGCAGCCGATGCCTTGCCTGTGTTGTCTCTGTTCTGTGCGGAGGAGAGACAACAGATTCCTCAGCGAGTGGAACAGATAAAATATATCTAGGGCAGGGGTGGGCAACTGTGGCCCTCCAGCTGTTGGTGAACTACAAGTCCCATCATGCCTCTGCTGTGATGCTTGTAACTGTCAGTTTTGCAATGCCTCATGGGACTTGTAGTTCTACAACAGCTGGAGGGCCACAGTTGCCTATCCCTGATCTAGGGCTTTTTTCAGCAGGGAATGCGGGGGGTAACGCACTTCCAACACCTCAAGCACTGAATGTATCTGTCAGGGGTTGGTGGGTGTGCTGGAGGGTCTATTGAGGCTGTCTGCTGGGGGGTTCTGTTGTTGCTAGTGGGATATATTGTTTGCGGGGGTCTATTGTTGGCCTAGGAGGTCTATTGTTGATGGTGGGGGATCTGTTGTTGCTGTTGGTCACTTACTGCTGAGAGGGATCTACTGTCAAGGGAGGGGGGTCTATTGACGTTGGCTGCTAGGACATCCGTTTTTGCTGGTGTGGATTTTATTGTTAATGGGAGGGGGGGCATTTTGTTGCAGATGATATATTGTTGCTGGGGGGAGGCTATTGTTACTGCGAGATCTATTGTTACTGGGGGGGGGGTCTATTATTCCTGGTGGTAGGGAATTAATTTACTGCCTTTTTTATTAGTAACAATTTATACAAATTACTTAGCTTGACAAAATTTTACATGGTGTTGTATTCTGTGGCTCAGAATGCGGGAGAAAAAAAGCCCTGAATATATCCATTTGTCCTCGCTGGAGAAGTCTATACAAATAATAAAGACTAGTTCAATGCTTTGATTCCTGTAGTTTAATGAGTGTAGGTGACAGTGTGACAGTGGAAATATTAGTTATTGGCAGTATAATGGTGCCCATACACTAGACAAAAAAATAGTTAGAAAATCTGCCATTTGGACAGTTTGTTTCTGCTCCAGTTAATGAGCACAAATAGAAAATTGGTTTTGACATTTTTGAGCCAAAAAAAAAATCAAAGGAAAAGTTTGGAAAACTTCTGCTGAAAGGATGATAAATTGAAAGGTAATGTGTTTCTCACCTATTAAAAAAATCAAACTGTTGCTACTGCGCATATGTTACAAAATGAACAAACAAAAAAGATTCACTTATGCCCATTAACCAATTTATCGTTTGAACTTTGGTCATATACATGATGGCAATATTGCTTGCTCCCATGACCATGTATTCATCATTAAAAAATGTGTTCAAATGATTTTTTTTGACTACCGTATGGTTACCACAAGTTTCAGTTAGTGGCAGTGTGTCAGTCATAGTGCAATTGGCAGTTATTGGCAGTATTAGTGGCAGTGTGCTTTGGTATGGAAAAAAAGGTTTTATATTTAGAGTCAGTGCAGTGCAAGTGTCATTGTTAGTGTGTTTAAGTAGGACAAAAAAAATATATTTTTTTAATATATAATAATAATAATATATAAATCACACGCACATATGTGGTATTACTATGATTGTCAGGAGTAGGAGAATTTATTTTTCAGGTTTTTTTGGTGGTGGTACATGGTAATGGAATAAAAATTAAAAGCTAAATTACAACATTTTTTTTTTTTTAGTTTTTTGGGCTAGTTTTTTTGATAATAAAAAAAATCAGGAGAATATCCATTAACATGAAAGCCCAATCTGTCCTCAGAAAATCAAGGTATAATCCACCTGGATACCATAAATCGTTGCAATCATATGTACAGTTTTATTAACACAGGTCAAAGTTGCAAAACTGGGTTTGGGTGATAAGGTACAGTGCTCAGCATATTGCGTACACCCCAACAGATTTGTCAGAAAACCTTTACTTTCCTTTCAGTATCAACATTTTCTATGGTACACTATAGTATTTTCGCAAATACGGGCCATTGATTGCAAACAAGATTTGTTAATTTGCACACACAAAAAAGTATTTTTCCTTAGAAATTCATTTAGGACCATGTTGCAAAAATGAATACATCCCAATGAAACTCTTAGGAGCAAAGCTAAACATTAGACAACAAAATCCTAATTAACAAAAATGTAACTACAAGTGAGTCTAATTATTCTTTAACCACTTACCGTCCACCCTGTAGCAGAAAAGCACTCTTGCAGTATGTAAACAGCGGCTGCACCATGCATGTGAAGTATCACCACGAACGACAGATCAAGGACAGTAATTCTAGCACTAGAACTCCTCTATAAATCTAAAATGGTAGCTTCTAAAGACTTTTAAAGCCTTGCCTATGGATATTAAAAATGTACGCAGGTTGTCTCTATTGCACAGTTTTAAAGCATGTCATGTTTGGTATCTATTTACTTGGCATACCATTATCTTTTATATGTTACCTTATCAAATAATTGGCCAATATATTGTGTTTTTATGCATTAAAAGTAAAAAAAAAGTGTATTTACAAAAAAATTGCGTTTGAAAAATCACTGCGCGAGTACTATGTAGCATAAAAAATTGCTGCACCCACCATTTTTTTCACTAGGGTGTCTGCTTTAAAATATATAATTTTTGGGGGTTCAAAGTAATTTCCTAGCAAAAAATACTGATTTTTTTTCTTGTGAACAAAAAGTGTCAGAAAAGGCTTGGTCTTCAGGTGGTTAGAAGAGTGAATGATGTGTGGCATAAACTTCTAATGCTGGGCATAAAATGCCCCCACCCCCCCAAATGACCCCTTTTTGGAAAGTAGACACCCCAAACTATATGCTGAGAGGCATGTTGAGTCAATAGAAGAATTTATTTTTTTACCACAAAAAATAAATAAATTTGTTCAATTACTTTTAATCCCTTGAAAAAGGGGAGATGGCTACTCTTTAAGAGCTGTAATTCCTAAACCCTTCCTCCAATTTGGATGTACATACCCTCAAATTAAACCTGAGAGTGTGCACTTTCAGCCCATATCCATTATAGAACTATAGCTTGAATATGTTTTGGTAAATACCTGAAAAAAACTAAAATCGTGCCTGTGTCCAAATATATATGGACCTATCTGTATTTTACCCCAGCTCTGGCCGGCCCTTCAGCAAAATTCAGGGATATAACCCTGTATTGTACATGGAGGTGGTAGTAGTGTGACTGAGACCAGGAGCGTCTTAGAGAGGATGCTTTGCTGGACAGTCACACTGCTTAAAAGGATCCTTCCTGAGTGAGGAATAAGGTATACATGACTAATCTGCATACCTAAATAACATGAATTACTTTTTTTAATACTATAATTGTAGCTAACAATTACATTATTTAACAGACACACTGCCATCTGCAGGGTGAAGACATTTTGTGAATAAAGATTCCAGCATACACGATTACTATGTCGGGAAGGGAGTTAATACACACTGATAAGATTATTTTTATTAAACTGATTTCAGTCACACACATATGAAAACAAAATTTCTGTTGATATTGTGTGGCAACATAATGCACTGGATTTCTGACAGAATCAACAAATATTTTTTCCATATTGAACACACATAACAGACTGATTTGTCTGTATTTTTAAAACAGACCACAAGAAACAAACAAATGAGGTTCATTTTAGGGTTTACATACACTTAGGGTTACTATGTGTATGTAAACCCTAAAATGAACCTCATTTTTTTGTTTCTTGTGGTCTGTTTTAAAAATACAGACAAATCAGTGTGTTATGTGTGTTCAATATATGGAAAAAAATATTTGTTGATTCTGTCAGAAATCCAGTGCTGTCATGTGTATTGTGGACTAGAGAACTATTCCCTGTAGGTTTTGAAATGAGGAGAGGGAGACATGCTGTGTCCTACACACCAAATAATTTTTCTAGCCTTCCACCTTTCACCCGTGCACACCAAAATCAAATGCACTCACCAGATTTTGGTGAATGAAAAG